CCCGGCTGCTCTGAGGGCCCATCTCCTTACTCTTTCTCTGACAGTGATGGACGCTTCGAGATTGTGGGTGGCGGAAGCCTCCGGATCATGGACCTGACCGAGGATGACACAGGAACCTACAGTTGTCTGGCAGAGAGCGGGAATGAGACCATCGAGGCGGAGGCCGAGCTCCGGGTGCGAGGTTCGTGCTGCTCGGATCTCGCTGTATGGGCTGTTAGCCGTATGTGCTTCTGAAGGGAGTGTTGAGCCTCCAGGCCTCTGGGGGGCGCATCACTCAGCTCCTGAATTTGTCAGGTTAGAGCTGGGAGCCATATAAGGTTGTTCTTCCTTGCATCTTTCTGCTGATGATATGAAATTTTGATGAGTACACTTGAGTTTCAGTGGGCGGGGGGGTGATGTTATTTTTAACTCTGTGCCATGTGCCCCACTCAGGGGAGGCTGGGGTGGGGGTCACAGTCACAGGGCACTTGATGACGCGCGGGTTGTTTGCACAGGGGTGGGATGTCTCACGTACGGCAGTCACACCAGGGGAGGGGTGTACCAAGCGCTCGAGGGTGTAGTTTTTCCACAGGCTTTTTCTGGAGTTTCTATATCAGGAGCCACCCTGTCCCTCAGCTTCACACATCCCCTGTTTTATTACCGCAGTTGTAGGATTACTGCTGCGGCTGCACCCACCACCCACTCCTCCCCCCTCCCCTCCCCAGAGCCCACAGACCACCAGCTCCCTCCTCCTGGTGCCTAATGAATATCCCTTCATCTGTTTGTCAAACAAATCATTTCCTGCTTTCAGGATCTGTGTAATTAGTGAGCAGGGATTTGGCTGTGCGGTTTGACGTCTGTGTAGTGACCCACCCCGCACCCCCACCCCGCTGCTGGGACAGTTTACACTGAGATCAATCCCCAGGGACCGCCATGGCTGAATGGGATCTGTGTGTTTAGGATTGTTCAGAAGATGTTTCCTAATCAGAATTTGGACCAGAGAGATTTTTATTGGCCAAGTATGTTAAACATGCCAGGAATCCTGGTGCACGTGCCTCAGTATAATACAACATTCAACACAATTTAAGACAGTTTAGAAGTATGTGCACATGACATTTTAAAATAGACAGCCGACCTACAGTCAGAAGCAGCACGGGGGGAAATAAAGGGTGAAAAAATGAATAAATAGTGAATGGAAGTAAACAGGGTGATGACAGGAAGAGTTATAGGACCACAGCTAACTAAAGCATTCGAGAAAGTACCAAAAGTAGGGTACTCCAAGGTGTTGGTTTTCCACAGTTATAAAAACTGGTACTGGTGCCAAATGACATCACAATGCAAGGTGGGTATTTTCTACTGAATGCAAAAAATGGCTGTAGTATATTATAGGGCTGGTGCGATATTAATACCTGCATCATAGGTTTTGCACATGCGATTCTTTACATCGCAAGTAAGCTAGATTAAGATCAGCCTTTTTCTTACTTTCAATTCTGTACGGACATTATAGTGCGGGGGTTAAAGTTTCGCTAAAACATTTTTACTCTGTCATAGGAAAAAAAAACCTTAGCTGGCTAGGTTAATTATTATTCTTTAAAAATCAGTTTAAAGTTTACCTCCCCTGCTTTTGTATTGTGTGTCAGCAGCAGGCTGTTTGCATAATAATCAGTCGGCAAAGAAAGTCCCACCTCAATGTACCAAAGTACCAAAGAAGTACCCCAGCTGGTTTGGTACTTTCGGTACTGGAACTTTTGCTACTGACCAGAATTCAATGGAAAATGGAAAGTACCAAAAGTACCATACCAATAATACGGTACTTGGTGCAGTGAAAAAGCACCAAAAATGTTGTAAGCAGACCAGTTACCATTGATGAGAATCGAGAATTTGTCCCTGTTTCGAGTGGCTTTGACATTGGTGGCTCTGACCTGCTGTGCCACCACACCTGTCGGGGATTTGAACCCATAGTGTTCTTGCACGTCATCCTCTGTTCATCCTCCATAACAGCTAATGGGTTGGTTTGTAGAGCGTGTCCAACTCAGACGTAAAAGACTCCCAAGGACAGTCGAGGAGGGTCACGGTGTGTGACGCCCCCCCGTGCGTTATGGGGTCACTGACCTTGCCTGACAGGGGGCGCCGTTCATCTGCCTGCTAGCCACTCACTCGGAAAAAATGGGTTGCGTGCTTTGGCCAGCCGGCCGGATCATACGAGGTAGAGCGTGCCGCTTTTCTCGAAATGCGCCATTTTCCGCACTGCCACCTCGGGTCTACCGGAACTTTCTGTCTGTGAAGGTCAGTGCAGTTACCAGCGGAGGGTCATCGGTGTGTCACACACGAGGAAAGCACTGTGTGTTATATTTTATACAGCAATATGGACAAGGACTAGAGAAGTTTGGATTCTGCAGACCTGGGTGTTATCAGGCTACCTTGTACGCTAATGGGGGTGATTCTGCCCTCTACATCTCACACACTCGCACACACTCGCACACACACATAGATGCTGATCTGTCTCGTTCTGTCGCAGTTTCTCCCCGCTTCCTGAAGACTCCCTCCAGCATCTACGCCTACGAGTCCATGGACATCGATTTTCAGTGCGATGTCACGGGTTCCCCACCCCCAACCGTCAAGTGGGTGAAAAACGGAGACGCCATTATTCCAGGGGACTACTTCAAAATAATTGTAAGTTTATTGTAAATTTGACGTGGCGGGGACATGTACTTTGGACACTCTAGACTGTCTGAGTATGCTGCCCCCTGCTGGTGGGAGGTCATCTCACAGCTGTTATCATTGTCATGGTTATCACAAGCCTTTCAATTAAAGAGCAGCCTGTCGAGATGCTTAAAGACTGCTTTTGTGTGGAACGTGGTATGTTCTACTAGATAACAGCGGTTGAGGTATTCTACTGCTTGATAAAGGTGGTGTTTTGGTATTAAATGGCAAACCCAGCAGCTAGTAGAAAGGTGTTATTGAGGGCTGGATCATGTGTGCAGTATTCAAACCCCATGTGTCATTCGTGTCCCCAAAGAACGAGCATGACCTGCTGATTCTGGGCCTAGTGAAGTCCGACGAGGGTTTCTATCAGTGCCTGGCGGAGAACGACGCGGGGAACATCCAGTCCAACGCGCAGCTCATTATTCTGGATCACAGTGAGTGTGGGGGGGTGGGCGGGCAAGGCGGGGTGTCAGGTGTCTTGCTCCTGCAAAGACAGGCTCCTGTCATGTCTGCTGCGGGGGCACATGAGCTTGGGGGCTGTCCAGGTGGCTTCCGGGGAACCTTCCCAGCATGCCTTTCTCCCAGCAGCCACTGCGAATCTCTGAGCTGCTGAATCCACGCCTTCCCATGGTGCCTCAGGAATGAGGGGGGCTGCTGTGTAAGCAGCGTGTGTGCCAGACAGAACGTTCCGGACCAGAGCTGTGAACCGCATTGAGCAGGATTCGCGTGTGTTTCAGTGCAAAGAAACTATGATCATGTGATCAATGTGCTTACACACTGCTGGCACGACGGTCTGAGCATGTGACCTTCCTCCAAACCGCTTGTGGTTTGGTAAATACACAGATACACACACCGCATCCTGCTGACCAGCCAGTTCACCGGCCCCTGCCTGCAAGCCCTCGGACCCGCGACCGTGTTTGCACCTGTTTCCTGACAGGAAGGTGGTTCTTTCAGCTGGCTGCTGCATTCCCAATTAAGAAAGGAGCTCATTAGCGCTGCTCGCACCTGCCGATTTACGCAGATCAGCGTTTTCCCATTACTTGAGTGCCCTACCTACCTGGGAGGGTGGGATAGGCCTTATGATGAATGTGTATTTCAGTATTTCTGGAATAAACTGAAATCAAAGCACCATCAGAGTTTGGTGTTTTTGGAGCATTTTGCGTCCATTATAAGATTCAGTCAAATGATATGGATTCAGTCCAATTTCTGAACATGTTTACATTGTTCCTTGGCTGGGGGTAATCCCACACCGCCTGTGATTGTGTGATATTGTTTTTTGCCCCAGTGTGGGATGGGCTCCAGACCCCTGTGACCCTGCACAGGACAGACGTTCTGGGTGATGGATGGATGGACAGTCACCCCAGGCTGTTTGTTCCGTTTGAGATCCTTTAGGCCGGTTCTAGCAGCAGGCTAGTTTTCAGCCCTGGTTCCTATTTCCTGCTTCTCTCCTCTAGCATCCTCCTCGCTGGCCCCGCGGGGGCCATTTCCACACGCGTGCCGTTTCCCAGCACCGCCGCCGACCCCTCACCCTGGCTGTGACCCCTGGCCCCTGAGCGTGCCAGGCGTGGGTGTCTCTCATCAAAGCCACCATGTGTTGTTTATGTTCCACCCACCCTGTGACGCACGCTCTCCGGTACCCCCTTGCCACACAGGCTGTGGCGGATAGGGGCTCAGTCGCCGGGGGGGGGGGGGGGGGGGCTTTTTATGGTTCACCCGAGGTGGTATGTGGGGAGGGGAAACATCCTGTTGATCCTGGGGTCCCAACCTTAAAATCTTTTTATTGCCTGTTTGCGCAGAAATAATGAGCCAAAGTGAATCATGGTGCCAGCGAGGAGTGTGATGGATGGATGCAGTTGCTCTGAGGCATCCCAGCAGGGGGGGTGATGTGCAAAGCAGAAGTATTTGAGGAGAGAGAAAATGTATTTCTATTCACTAAAATACACACCCTTTTAACCTCCTCACTGCTGATTCTGCAGCACCCCCCAGTGGTTTAATAATTGATTGATTGAGTGATTGATTGAGTGATTGATTGGTGGATGGATGGATGGATGGATGGATTGATGGAGGGATGGGTGTCCTGCCCTATTCCGTCTGTATGGAGCTGGTGTTGTTAGGCCTTACTGCTCCCTCTCTACCTGCCTGCCTCTCTGCCTCTGTCTCCAGCTCGCTCTCTCTCTTTTTCTGTTTTGCACACACAAACACACACCAGCAAGCAGACACACACAGACACACGCCCAGGCAAACAGGGACAATACACATACACGGGCAGATGCGGACACGCACAGACACACGCACAGGCAGACGCAGACACACACACAGACACACACACAGGCAGACGCAGACACACACAGACACACGCAGACACACACACAGGCAGACACACGCAGACACACGCAGACACACGCAGACACACGCAGACACACACAGACACACGCACAGGCAGACGCAGACACACACAGACACACGCACAGGCAGACGCAGACACGCACAGACACACGCACAGGTCTCCCATTTCTCACACCTTTAATGAGCATCTTCCGTCTCCGTGGCCTCGCTGGAGAATCGTGATAAGGATCCCCCCCCCACCCCTGTGGGCCTGCGTCTCTCGTCTTTGTCGTCTCTCTCTCCTGCACGTCAGCCCGTAGTTAGACAGCATTTCTCTGTGCACCACTGTATGTGTTTTTATTTCTGTCATGGCTGCCTCTCGTCATGTCATGTTTTTTGTTGTTTTCTCCTCTTTGGCTCCCTTCTCCGTCCCTCCTGCATGTTCTCCCCTCCTGTGGTCCACCTTCACGCTGCCCCTCCCTCTATGGCTGCACTCTGTGACCCCGCCCTGCCGCCCCGCTCCTTTCTAACCCCGCCCCCACCCTGGCCCTTCCCCCTTGTGCTGTTCGCCCCGCCTCCTTTCCTGTGCACACGCCACTTGTCCCACACTTACACAGATGTCCCCATTCCCACTGCCCCTCCTCCCACACTAACCACTGCCCCTGCTGCTCACGTAGCCCCTGCCCCCCCAGGGAGCGGCCGTGGTCCCACCCCCTCCGCCCCACGTGATGTCGTGGCCTCGCTCGTCTCCACCCGCTTCGTGAAGCTGACGTGGCGCCCTCCCGCCGAGCCCCACGGCGACAACCTCACCTACTCAGTCTTCCACCGGCTAGAGGGGGCAGCCAGGTACGCCACGCTCCTTCTGCACTCCTACACATCCTCCTCTTCCATAGCTGTGCGTCTCCTCCACTGAAGGAGGCTCCTTCTGCACTCCTACACATCCTCCTCCTNTCTGCACTCCTACACATCCTCCTCCTCCATAGCTGTGCGTCTCCTCCACTGAAGGAGGCTCCTTCTGCACTCCTACACATCCTCCTCCTCCATAGGTGTGCGTCTCCTCCACTGAAGGAGGCTCCTTCCTCCTCTCATCTCCTCCTCAATCCTTCTGCACAGGGAGCGGGTCCAGAACGGCACGCGGCCCGGCGACCTGCAGGTGGCCGTGCAGAACCTCCTGCCAGACACCCGGTACTCCTTCCGCGTGGTGGCCCACAACCGGATCGGCCCTGGAGAGAGCTCGGCCCCCATCATCGTGGCGACCCAGCCTGAACGTAAGCAGCAGAGAGACTCACAGACACACACGCTCTCTTCCATCCTGACTTTCACGCCTGTTCTTGGGAAGCTAATTGAAAGCAATGATTCATGAGCTTGTGAAGAAAACAAACACTAGCCATCACACCCCCCCAGCACCGAAGCAGGCCTGGGTTAGCGACGCGGATCCTGCTAAATGGAGCGGAAAGCCGCCTTCTCCCAGTCGGGCTGCAGGTGCACACTGTCACCCTCGAGGTGTTTGCCATGCAGGTCTTGTATTAGAACCGGCCTTAGAGATCTCCCATGATGCAGCGCTCCAGCATTTGGTCTCTTTCATATCTTAATCTGTGGCCCAACTCGGAGGCCGGCTTCTTGAGTGCCGTTAAGAATTAGTTCTTTATAATCCTGGGGATTGCATGTGTGGGCAGTCGAGGTGTCTAACGGTGTCCCAACCATTATGGTCTGGGGGTCTTCATGGTCCAGAGAGCTTCTGTCTGCCTCTGGCACTGCCCGTCCTTCCCGGCAATTAAACTCTGTGCTGTGTGAGCCGTAGGATGTTGTTGAGCTGTGTTGCCTGTACCCACCTTGTCTTTGCCCCCCCCCCCCCCCCCCCCCCCACCTTGCTTCGGCAATACAGTCCAGGTGCCTGGCCCTGCGCCTAATCTCCAGGTGGCGTCCGTTGCCCCCACCTCTGTCACGGTCAGCTGGGGGACGCCCCTGACGGGCAACGGCGAGATCCAAGCCTACAAGCTGTATTACATGGAGAAGGGTTTGGACGGAGAGAAGGTGAGACGGGGGGAGGGGTTGGGGGGTAGGGGGCTATTTGGAGAGATCAGAAGCACAGAGACGGGTTATAGAGGCGGGTTGCATTGCTCCGGTGCAGCAGCAGTTTACGCATTCGTGTGAAAACCCCCCCCCCCCCCCCGTGTTGACCCCAGGATCATCAAACCCACCTCCGCTCCTGTGAGTCTAATTCTTGCCGGGGGATGATTTGAGATGGATGAAGCCCTATCCATCTCAAATCCTTTTACATATCGGCTAGATCAAATTGAAAGACGCCCCCTGAGTCCCAGACCTGCTTTACCTGCTTCCATATTTTTTCTGTCGCCTTCCAGATGTTCCCATACAAACCTTCTTCATAGTGTGATGCTGATGTTTTTCTGAATGGATCTGCGCAGCTGAAAGTCGCTGAAGGAGGATTAGAGTGAAGCTGAGCCGTGCCTGGAATTTGTGCCCCAGAGCCTCACGGTTCGTGTGTCCTGTGTCCCATGGCAGGATGTTGACGTGGCAGGCCTGTCCTACACACTTACTGGCTTGAAGAAATTCATGGAGTACAGCTTCCGCGTGGTGGCCTACAATAAGCATGGGCCTGGGGTCTCCACAGAGGACGTGGCCGTGAAGACCCTCTCTGACGGTGAGGCCGTGTGCTGGTGCAGATGGGATGGACATGGACCTTCTGTAGATGTTATTGTGGTGGATGAAACACCAGTCAGGACCCAGAGATGATTTGGACACCAAAACTTCATGATTGGCACCAGGATATTTGCTCTGCACATGTTTGACTCTGTTCACCTACACCTGTTTGTCCCTCCCCCAGTCCCCAGTGCCCCCCCGCAGAACCTCACCCTGGAAGCGCAGAACTCAAAGGTAAGTGTTTGTAAGAGAACCATTTGGTCAGTTGACCTTCTGGAGCAGATGAAGCTGGAGTTAATATAAGCATAATACACCCAGATCCTGATCAGCCTGCTGCTAGTCATGGTCACCTGGAGCTTTGGTGCTTCTGCCTCTCACAGCTTTCAGATGATGACCTGTGCCACCATTTTTACCTTTCGTCCAGCAGAGGGCACCATTTGCACCAGCCCCCCCTCACCCCACAATCCTGTACTTGTGTACATTCTACCTAATAGCTCTCCTGGAGACAGACTTTTCATTCATGGTGTGCCTTGCTCTTTCTTACCTCAGAGCGTCATGGTCCGTTGGCAGCCCCCGCCCCCCGATACCCAAAACGGAAAGCTGATTGGTTACAAGGTCCGCTATCGCAAGGGGTCGCGCAAGAGCGAAGCGGTGGAGACGACGGGTGGCACACAGCTGTACCAGCTCATCGACGGTGAGTCGGCAGCGTGAGATCCGCCCCCTGGGGGGCGCTCGATTGGGGGCAGGTGACGTCGTGACCGGGAAGAAAATCACCGGCACTTTAATAATCTCGTCAAGTCTGTTTTTTTGTGCGTTTTATGGTGCGGGAGCGGGCGGGAGCTCTCGGAAGTGAGCCTCTGTGTGCTTTTCACTGTGAAAATGAGAGTGTTCATCATCGCAGAGCCGGTTAGAGCCGCTCCCAGCTCTCCAAGGGAGGGAGGCGCTGGAATTAACATTCAGTGCCGCGAGGAGAAGTTCAACAGGCTCTCGTTAGCACCCGGGAGCCGCTGCTGTCCCCGTGTGACACGACAGACGCGCCACCTGTCACCCCCAGGCTGGATAAAGCCAGCTCCCCTTAAGACTGAATCTCTCTTCATCTTCTAATCAGTGTATTTGTTTATTTGTCATGTATGTTAGCAGGGTAAGCCGGATTAAGTATAAGCTAGCTGTAAATGGTGTTGTCAAGCTTTAATCAGTGATGGTAAATAAACTCACATTTACATTTATTTTATATAGCAGATGCTTTTGTCCAAAGCGACTTACAAGTGAGGCAAATAGCACATCGCAAACCTGAGTCATTACCCAGTGTAAGGCTCGAACCCACAACCCTGAGATTAATAGTCTCCTGCTGTACCCACTCAGATATCCGAATTTACTCATTTCAAGAGTTCAGCAAAATGATTCCCACTTTGCGTGAATTTTCTCATCCTGATTTTCCACATGCTGACCAAAAACTCACTGTCAGTCAGTCAGGACCATGTGCAGGTGTTGAACGGCCATCCCCAGGCTGAAAGGTGGTATAGGGACAGCAGACCGGCCACGAATGACTGCTGACATGTTGTTTTAGGTATCTGCTGTCTGTGTGGTTAATTCCTAATGAGGTCTCCCTACTGTTTGCATGACGCTAACAGTACATTAGCCTTGAGTGGTGGCTACATTTAATCAGTCAGTTTAAAATTTACACTCACTTGGGCTAATTGACGCTTTTATCTGTGAGAAACACCCCAGTCCATCAGTGCAGTGGTGTAGCTTTAGCAAGGCCTTGGCAGTTCGAGGGGGGTTACGGGAGGCCCTGGGCTTCGGAGGGGTCTGTCTATAGTGCTGATGTGGGCTCCACCCCTTCCCTAGGTCTGGAGCGTGGGACGGAGTACAGCTTCCGTGTTTTGGCGCTCACCGTGAATGGCTCAGGACCGGCGACCGACTGGGCCACAGCGGAGACCTTCGAGAGTGACCTAGATGGTAAGAAGAGTGAGTGGGTAAGGAATGGGTAGCACACAAAATGCTTCCGGCACCTTCCGTTTTGCCTGATGGCCTGTAGAGACTCCCCCAGTGGTGAGCAGGGAATGCATCAGGCTTAGCTGAGCTGTACTGAGCGATGGTCTGGGCTGTCAAGCTGCATTCGACAGCTTCAGAACATTCTGGAAAGACAGAACCTGACTGGCATTACATGGAGGGTCGTGTCTGGCCAAAACGGGCCCTTTGGCCTAAAGGGGTGAGTGTTGGTTCCATATCACTTTACCCCATTAGCTCTCACACAGGCTAACTGCACGCCTCGCGTCCTGCTCCCGGCATCACCAGCAAGCAGGCTTCAATCATGATTGACAAGCGAGATTTTGGGGTGGGGGGTGAGTTTGCCCAGACGGATCATTCGATTCATCTCCCGTCACACAAGATCGATTTTCTCATCTCCTCTGGCACGAGCTGAATCCGTGGCCCGAGTCGCGGCTGAGGAAGGTCTGATCTCTGCGATTCCTAGTTACAGATTAGGGACTGTGCTGCTCTTCTTGTCAACACGTTTAATGTGCTAAGAGCTGGTCATGTATATATTATGTTGTGGGAACCACATGTTCCCACAATGTGATAAAACCTGTTATTTTGACATTGTGGGGACCATTTTATCAGTCCCCACAAAGAGAAACTCAATTTTATAAAAATCTGTGACTGCAATCAAAAAATTAAAAATGCCAAAAGCCTTGTATTTAGTTTGGTTACTTATGGTTAAGGTTAGGGTTGGGTAGGGGTTAAGGTCGTCATGTTGGAATGTTGGGAGTTTTCTCCATAGAAATGAATGGAGAGTCCCCACAACGATATAATTAAAAACCTGTGTGTGTGTGTGAAACCAGAGTGTCACTGATCTTCTCTTTCTGCTTTTGTTAAACCTTAATCCCAAGCATAGCAGCCGAGATGAAATCGTAGATTGGGTTTCCCCTGAACCAGCCCTACAAGCCCTAATCTTCTGATTAATTTTCTGTTAATTGTTTACTATATCATTTAATTAAAACCGCTTTTGACACTTTTTTCAATAACACTTAAGATGAGCGATTGTAACTTCAGAGGGATTAAAAACATTACCAGTTCATATCACATCCATCAGGAAATTAAAGTAGAACAGTGTCATTTTTTGAAGACATGTCATGTAATTAAGTTTATGTTCAGTAAGTATAATTGAAAATTAGAATTCAGAATTATAAAATGTCTGAATTAGAGCATGTGAGTTTTGCCACAAGAGGGCGATGATGCACATGATTGATCCCTCCCGCAATGACATGCTCTGTTGCAGAGAGCCGTGTGCCGGACGCCCCCACCTCCCTCCATGTGCGCCCGCTGGTGAACAGTATCGTGGTGAGCTGGACGCCTCCGGAGAACCAGGATGTGGTGGTGCGTGGCTACACCATCGGCTACGGCATCGGAAGCCCCCACGCTCAGACTGTCAAGGTGGACCACAAGCAGAGGTTTTACAGCATTGAGCACCTGGGTAAGATGCTGGTGCCCTGGGGCAGGGGGTGCCACTGCTGTTGGGGGGTTATTATGGGGTGTGGACTTTGAACTAATCTTCCTATTGTTGTTGACCCACGCTTAAATTCAGGCTTAAATTCAGGCTTAAATTCATGAAACCCTATTTGGTGTTCTGACCCTGGCCCCCAGATCCGAGTTCCAACTATGTGATCACGCTGAAGGCGTTCAACAACCTGGGTGAGGGCTTGCCCCTGTACGAGAGCGCCATCACCAGGCCGCAGTCAGGTAAGGTAGCTCCCCCCCAGCAAGTGTTCATCGGAGTGGGATGAGGGAACCTCCTCAGTGGTGCAGGGACCTGAGGAGTGCTGTAATTGTGCTACAGCTTATTGTTACAAGATCACCTAGCCATGACTAAACGGTGCCAAAATGCAGTTCCGTTTCTGATTGGTCAAATCTCAGATGGTGGAAAACAAGCTGTTTAGAAGTCCAATGACCATTTAGTTTAGTGGAGCTCTGCCTTGCCCTCAGCAGTACCTTGTTGGGCCAAGATTCTGAGTGGCCTGGTTTTGGATCTGTGATTAAGTCTGCATTGTTTTGTGTGTTTCTTTGTCAGGTTGCTGGGTGACATCACCGTAAATACCTGTGGGATATACCACCACAGAGGGTTTTTTTGATGAAACATCTGATTCATTAGTAACATCCCCAGGTTTAGGCGAGTGGTCAGTAATCACTATGTGGTCTCCCTGGCTAATGGCGAGGTGCAGGGTCTCAGTCTGCACACGCTCGGAGACGTGTGGTCAGTAATCACTATGTGGTCTCCCTGGCTAATGGCGAGGTGCAGGGTCTCAGTCTGCACACGCTCGGAGACGTGTGGTCAGTAATCACTATGTGGTCTCCCTGGCTAATGGCGAGGTGCAGGGTCTCAGTCTGCACACGCTCGGAGACGTGTGGTCAGTAATCACTATGTGGTCTCCCTGGCTAATGGCGAGGTGCAGGGTCTCAGTCTGCACACGCTCGGAGTCATGTTCCCGATTGCTCCCGTTTTATGGGATAAGGCTCTCCTCCTTTATGTAACTTTATGTAACTGAGGATTAAATGGACGCCTTTTTTAGTTACCTAGTCTGAATGTGGCAGATGTGACCCTCCTAACTGGTTTCCGGGATGTTCTGGAATGGTTTTCCATTCTGTGTGTGTTTGCTGACTGACAAATTTCCAGCATTCCGGATTTGCGGTTTCCTAGAGTGATGGACTAGGCAGAAAACATCTGCTCTGCTTCTCCGGAGAGCCCTCTTTAGCCCATGACGTTCAAACCCGGCTGGAGGAATGAGTCCTCCTGATCAGGAGCCAATCATATCTTTACCCAGATTGCAGTGTTTCTCTGCGACCATCCCCTTGAAGTTGGTGCCGGTGCGATGCAGTTATGACCATCACGGAAATTGGGGCGTCTTGCACGTGATTGTAACATTTGAGTTTAAGTAGTCCCCACATCATTTAAATGACAAGGGACATTATTTATGGACAAAATGCCTCTGTGGGTCTGTTTCTATTGTATGCATGAGCTGAGATTCAGAAATGATGACTTTTTAGAAATTATTTTTAGCCGCTGTCGTTGGCACGCTAGCCCCGCGACACCCGCCATGAATCACTCAAACGCAGCATGATTTGTGTAAATGACTCTGCTCTGTTGTAGACACATCATTTCCCCTGTTATAACTGTTGATGTAGTGGAAGTAATGCCTGTGTAGATCACTTAGCTGTCAGTATGTAGAGTGCCTGATGGGCGTCGTTGGCGTAGTGCTCCTTGACGTGCTTTCTAATAGAATATTCTCTCTTTCTCTTCACCTTCTCCCAACTCCATTGAACCCTAACCCCTCATCTTAACCCATTAACGTTTCTCAAACCCTGCCCCTCCCACACCATTGCTCCTCCCACATCATTTGTTCCTTTGATTCCTGTTTGTTTGGGTTTATATTGACACCCCCCATTACCGTTTGCTTGTGTTGTGCTACGTTAACCGCCTGCAGACCCCATAGACCCTGACGTTGATTTCTACGAAATCTTACATGCCCCATTCACCCCAGCACCAGACCCCAGCCCCATGCTGCCACCCGTGGGTGTTCAGGCTTCTGTCCTCAGTCATGACACCATCAAGGTCTCTTGGGCCGACAACTCGCTGCCCAAGAACCAGAAGATCACGGACAGCCGGTGGTACACGGTGCGCTGGAAGACCAATATCCCTGCCAACACCAAGTTCAAGGTACGCCTACCCTGGGAGGGACAGCTAGGAACATCCATGCCCCCCTGGCCCTGGAGGGGCTGAATGACATGGGGAGACATTGGGTTAACAGGAGCTGAAGAGCAAGTGTCAAGAGAAACATGCTAGGAGATACCTTAATAAAATCCAGAAAGGATGTATATGTGACACCTGACAGCCCTGCAACACACAGAACAGACAAACTGACACGCCTAGGGTGTAAAGAACAGACTTACAATGGTGTTACCCATAATACTGTCTGTCAGCTGCTGGTCTGTGTGTCTCCTGGTGCCAATGCTGAGTCAGGGAGCCTGGCCTCTCTACATTCCCTCCAGAGGAGCTTCCTGTAAAGGTGACTGTTGGACAGCTACGGACGGCTTTTTCGGGGGGAGGGGTCTCAGCTATAGACGGGCTGTCGCTGAATCATTTATGCAAAAGAATCAAGGTGGTAAGTGTGTGAGCGTGTGGGGGGAGGGGTGTTAATTGCTCATATAAAGCTGCTTTGTGGGCCTAACCCTCCTGAATTCATGCCTGTTTGGGGCTCCCTGAGCTGGGTGCTAAAGATGGGGGCCTCGGTTCAGCCCTCAATATACCCCCCACCGCCCTCCCAAATACAGCAGGCAGGATGCCAAACTCTGGCCTGTGTGCTGTGGAGGACCTTCAGGGGGGACGTGGCACACAGCCAGGCTCTCCTCTTTGGCAGCCAGATCGCCCCCCCCCACGGCGCATGCCTCTGCAGCGAGGTCGCAGGATACGATGGCAGCATCTCTCAGGCGTAGACACAGAGCGCAGGGCGCGTTCGGGACACTAAATCAGAAAGAATGTCTCTCTGCTCCATCTGCTTCTCAGTCTCGATCTGACAAGCCGGATCCTGTCATGTTTAAAGCTTATGTTCATACTAACCAAGGAAACAAATGCAGCATGTATATAAATCTTTACCTGTTATAAGGTAAAAGGTATTTCTGATCGATTTTCCCAAGATAAATCTCTTCTGCCTGCACGGTGGAAGACATGTCAGAAGGTTTCTTAAAAAAATATATATATATTATCCCATAACTGTTTCAGCATGTATTTGGCGCCACCAAGTGGCTGAGATATGAAGTGATGCCAAAATTAGATGCTTTTCTTGTTTCAACAACTTTCATCATATTTAAAGCCATTCAGTCTGGAAATGTGACATTGGCACTTCAGAACATAGGCCGCTTGTGTAGTGCTTGGTGTATTTAATTCCTTTTTTGGCTAACTGTCAGCAGGTCTGTTGTGTTTGTGTAAAACATCTCAGTGTGAAGAATCAAGGTTAAGGGTTGTTGAGCATGTGTTTACTGGATGATATGAATTTTCAGTTATGAGCCCCCTGACTGTGCTTACATGCCCCTCCCATGCTGTTTCCCCACCCTCCCTCCAGACTGCAAACACGACCACCCTCAGCCACATGGTGACGGGCCTGAAGCCCAACACGCTGTATGAATTCTCGGTCATGGTGACCAAGGGCAGGAGGATCAGCACCTGGAGCATGACGGCCCATGGGACCACCTTTGAGAGCAGTAAGCGGAACCCTAACACCAACCATTCAGGGCCGGGATTGAGACTGGCAGGGTGAAATGGTGCTTTTCCACTGCCGTGCAGGAGTACCGGAGCCGTACTGCAGAAAGAGACTGGTTACAGTACGGTTACAGTGCAGTTCCAGCTTGCTTCGGTTTTCTACTGCAGAAGGGTTGGCTCAGTAAAAGCGTTTCCGGGTTTGTAGAGTCGCAGTGATGTAAAACCAAAGAGACGCTTATTTACTGTTCATATGGCGTACACCATGGTTTACTGTGCGCTAATTTCTTAATTTTCTAACACATCTGTGAGACACGTTATGCAAACATCAAACATTAGCAGAATTAGCATCCACTTGTGCTAATTTGCGTTACGAATCCATTCTGTTCAGCTGTTCTATGGTGCTCTTTTAAGTAGGAGGTTGGAAATTGAAAAAATTCTGAGTTATTGATAATCTAATTTATACATCGCATCATCGACCAATCAGATGATGGTGATGCAACCAGCTTGGTTGGGTCACACTTCTGTCAGCGTGGTTATGGCTCCGGTATGGCTCGGTTCCTGGTGGCAGTGGAAAAGCGCCAAAAGATGCGCTGCTGTGTTGTAATGTGAATCTCACCTCGCCTGAGGTGTACACCATCGTGACAGCTGGTATGTTCCTCTGCAGTGTGACCTGGTTCTCCGTTGAAATGACTCTTCTCCTCCTTGCTGTGTGTTTTGGGTGGTAGATGGAGAAGTGATAATGAGCTCCACCTGCTTTGAAAAGATTCCCCATTATGCAGGCTGTGAAAACCAACCTCCTGCTCTGTCCTCAGTTCCCAGCTCGCCCCCGAAAGATGTGACGGTAGTGAGCAAGGAGGGCCGTCCGCGCACCATCATCGTCAACTGGCAGCCCCCCTCAGAGGCCAATGGGAAAATCACAGGTTGGGTTTGGTGGGGGGGGACATAGTCCACACCCGTTTGTGTTAATGAGAGCGATTCTGATCTTAATAATAGAGGTGGAAAGTTCAGGTCCAGAAAGTTCAAATCCAGACCAAGATTTTGTTTCAACCAACCACTTGAGTATGAATAATCTCATTTACAGAGTATTCAGCAGGTTGGTTGGACCAAAATCTTGGTCTGGATTTGAACTTTCTGGACCTGAACTTTCCCACCCCTACTTAACTTAACTCAAAGACTGACAGCTGCTGCTCTGTACAGCTCTGTACAGCTCTGTATGCAGGATTTAACCCTGTCTCATCTTTTATTTGAGTCTTTAAAGTAACTCTGGACAGTAGATGACGTAATTTCACTCAGATTTATTCCACGGTATCTAGGACTTTGGTTCTCTTCACCACAACGGTTATTTGTGCCACAGAAGGTGTCTTTGGGGAATGGCGTTGTTGTAGTGGGGGAGGGTACAGGCCTTCATCGCTCCCCTCACCCTGCCACAGGCTACATCATCTACTACAGCACAGACGTCAATGCCGAGGTGCACAACTGGGTGATCGAGCCCGTGGTGGGGAACCGGCTCACACACCAGGTGCAGGAGCTCACCCTGGACACTGTCTACTACTTCAAGCTCCAGGCTCGCAACTCCAAGGGCATGGGGCCCATGTCAGAGGCCGTTCAGTTCCGCACCCCTAAGGGTAAGTGCAGCACCCGATGGGGCGCTCTCTCCTTAATCGCCGGATATTCTGCTTCCTCTGCACCTGTGCAAGTCTTTTTAGTTTATTTCATTTAATATTTTGGTTTCATTTGACTTCCTTCTGTGTCTTTGCAGATTGTTTGGTTTTGCTTCGGATTATAATTATCAGTTCCCCTTGTGGGGAATGTTCACTTTTCACTTAATAACTGCACATCATTAGGGAGAAAAATCCCATTGGAATTAGTTACATAGCGTAGCAGTGCAGATAGGCCTTGAAATATGTTCACGGTTTCATTAGTAAGTCCCCAGAACCACCGCTGTATGAAGACCTGACCTTCAGCTGAGGAACATTTGGTTACCAGGGCTGCTTTGTTTATAGCTCGACTGCGCAGATCTGCTGTTTGATGAATGCCATCTATATATCCCTCAAAGACAACTCCCTCTGCCAAGATGTCATTGAGGGACTCAAGCCAAGCTCTCAGCAAAGCCTTTATGGGTCCAACTTGGCTGTCATTTGAGTCCAGTATTCCCATAGTTTGCCAGCCCATGCGGTTGCTTGGACATCGGGGATGTCCCTGGATTAATTAGCCGTGCCCCTCCCCCACCCCTTGCTGGGACCCAGTGACTCCCCCACACCGGCCTCCTCCCTAACCGATCTTCTCTCCCTTTCCTTTTGCTCTCGGCCTCTTAGTGGAACCTTCTGACAAAATGCCTAATGACCAAGGTATCGATCTCACATTCCCTTTGTCATCCCACCTCCTACCCACCCCCCACTGATTGTTTACCAGTGATAAGCCTTTCGTCTCCTCTAAAGTCCCATCTCCCATTCCATGATGACAGATTGTTCTGCCCAGTTGAAACAAGACAGTGCTGTGATCGCAGAACGTCTCTGATGTTTACTAACCCTGATCCCCTGATCTCACCTTCATGTTACGAAATGACCACAGCTCAGGAAATGGACCAGCTGTTTTAGACCCAGCAGAACCAGTCGAAGCCCATGTGGCATCCTAGACAAGCTTCCCTGCTGGCACCCCCCCTCCGACAAAGCAAAACTATCTTGCTAAGTCAGCACCCTCTCTTATGTTAGCGCCCTAGGCGCCCGCCTATGTTGCCTAGTGGCTACAGCGGCACAGAGACCCAAGCATCCTTTTCATTTAATAAAGAGCTTATTGTTATCAAGGTTAGGATTCAAAGGCAGAATGATCGGTATATAATGATTGGTTGACAAGCTCCTCTCTCCTGCAGCATCCGGTCCAATGAAGCCTGGTGGACGAGGTTCTGACCCAGACCACAGCCCCAGGTCCCCATTTGGTAACGTACCCTCAACCACGAGGTCCATTGCACTGGTCATACACAGCTGGCATTGCTAACACACCAGTCCCGTGTCTGTCTCCATGGAATCCCCACTTCAAATTTGCTCTGATGCGGTGAATGGATTCCCCCACGCTGATTTTCAGCTCAGTAATGACTATGTGTGGTGGAGACATTTATACTTCACAACAAAACAGGGAGATGGTGTTTAAGTGAGAAAGCTAACGCTTTTTGGTCTGAAATCACAGCATATGTTCACACATATACCTTGCGCTGTTATTTTAGTCGGGCTGATTTATAGCAAGTGACTGTACGTTATATTTTATTTAAATTTATATTTAAAAATGTAATTTTATATTATAATTAAGGCCAGTTCAAAGATTAAGCCAGCAGATTCTGAACAATCCCCACTGCCCACTGCGTACCTCCCATCCAGATAAGCCCGGCATGTCAGGCAGCAGTGACAGCCACCTGCTGGTCATTGTCATCGTCATCTCAATGGGGGTGTTCACCATCATCGTGGTGCTGGTGGGGGCCTTCTTCTGCACACGACGCAGCAGCTCCCATCAGAAGAAGTAAGTAGGAGGGCGAAATAGTATTCATATTCAGTTATTGCATTGTTGTTACTGTCATGTTACTAGCCTCACATTGTAAGATCATGTTGGTAGCCTCACGTTGTTAGCGTCATGCTGCTAGTCTCACTTTGTTAGCGTCATGTTGGTAGCCTCACGTTGTTAGCGTCATGCTGCTAGCCTCACATTGTAAGATCATGTTGCTAGCCTCACGTTGTTAGCGTCATGTTGGTAGCCTCACGTTGTTAGCGTCATGCTGCTAGTCTCACTTTGTTAGCCTTAGGCTGGTAGCATCATGTTGTTAGCCTCACATTGTTAGCATCATGTTGTTAGCACCATCTTGCTGGCCTCATGTTGTTAGCGCCACGTCCTTAGCATCATGTCGTTAGCCTTATGTTGTTAGTCTAACATTGTTAGCGACAGCTTCCTGGGAAGCTGGTAGGTTGATTAAGTCTGAGCCTGATTATGATTCAGATAGACTGGGTTCCTGGATCCTCCCCATGATCGTAGCCTTTCAAGGCCTGACCTGTGTTTCCTTTGCTGTCGTTTCTGTTCCTCTATAGTTTCATTTTGCTATACGCTTCTTGACTCACAGTTCTGTATGAAACCCCTACCTGTGATAAATGCCATGTGATATTTCAAATTGGCGGCTGAGGCCCTCACTTGCTCCATGAGGTGGTCCTATACCACGCAGCCAGCTGACAGGCTGACTTCTGCCCCCCTTCGCCCTTATGACATCACAGGAAACGGGCGGCCAGCAAGTCCGCCAACAGCTCCCACAAGCATAAGGGCAGCTCCAAGGACCTGAAGCCACCAGACCTGTGGATCCACCACGAGCGGCTGGAGTTGAAGCCCATGGACAAGTCTCCGGACCCCAACCCGGCTGTGAGCGACACGTCCATCACCCACTCCTCCCAGGACGTCGTGCCCACTGACACCAGCGTGACTACTTCTGGCCACCAGAGGCGCAACTCGTACCGCGGTAAGGCTGTCACCGTGGAAACTCACCCACTTTAGAGAGATTCATACCTCACTATAAGCAGAAGCTTGATACAGCCTTCATTCTGTGTTGAAGTAAATGAAACTGAATGAGATTGAGTCTAGTGTAAGGCAAATCTAGATGACATCTACAGGTGTCAGGGTTTCAATAATCCCATGATCAGATCTAACTGTGAAATGCTTCCATGATTAAGCCAGGAGCATCTCCCAGCCTCCTCCACCAGGGGGTCGATGTTCCAACATGTATGGGGGTTCCAAGTATTTTGCGGGGGGGGGAGGTCAGGAGGAGCCATTGTCATGATGAATCATAACGTTGGGCATGCAAGGACCACCTGAGCGCTCTCGTTCACCGTCCACAGGCCTCGAGGCAGAGGACAGCGTGTCGGCACTCGGAGGAAGGCGTGGGATCAGGCCCAAGATAGTGATGCCGTTTGACACGCAGCCTCCGCAGCGTGAGTGTCCCCCCCCCCACCAGGCACCACCAGTCCAGCGTCTCAGGTTCACCAAAGGCCAAACCCAGTCTGCTCTGATCGATGGCATCAACAGTCACTTCTTAATGACTCCTGGCCTGTTCATGCTGCTGTTTCAGGCTCCCTAAGGGGCATGTAAATCAGCCAGGCGTGATGTTAGATGGTGAATTAATAAGTAGAAAAATAACAAGCCTGTCACTGTATGTACATCTAACTCATTCACTGAAGTGTGTGTCCCCATTTGTCACTTTAGCGTGTGTCACGCGTGTTCCTTTGCGTGTTTGCCTCCGTTACCCATGCTGAATCACGTGTGCTTGTGTGTGTCCATCCGCAGCTGTGATTAGTGCCCATCCCATCCGATCGCTCGATAACCACCACCCGCTTGTGGGTGGGGCAGCCCCACCCTCATGCGGTCACCTCCGCTACCCTGTCAGCCTTGGCCCCCCCGCCCCCCCCCAGTCAGACCTGTCTGACTCCGCAGGTAATATCCCTGGTAATTTCTAACCTTCCATTCATGGTCATTCACATTCCATAATGCCTGTGATAAGCAATGAAGACCCAATAATGAATATCCTCGGGGCATCAATATCCCCAAGATGCTCTGCTCTGTCTCTGTTTCTGGACAGTGTTTCCAGTAGTAGCGACACCCAGCTGGGCCTGTTAAGCTGAGCAATTATAGAATATAGCCAGCTGGCCCGCTATCTGTAGGGAAGGCAGAGCAGCTGGGATTGTGACACTAGGTGGCGCACTCTTAAAGGGGCCATTTGTCTTCAGTAACCTGCTACCCAGCCCACCCACCGCGTGACGCCTGTACCTGTGCGGTTACAGAATCTGCGAGAAGCACCCCCAGCGTGGAGCCGCTGCCGGGCTCCATCCCGCACAGCGGCCCGACTGAGCACGCTCAGACCGAAGGCGGCTTCCACGGCTCTGCCCCTGATGCCGAGTCTGGCTTCCACCCCCCCACTGCTCACGTCCGGCCCTCACACCCTCTCAAGAGCTTTGCTGTGCCCCCTGTACCCGCGCACGGCCCCGCCTTTGAACCAGCTGCCCTGACAGGTCAGTCCTTTTGGATCAGTACCAAGGCTCGCTTCACAGTGTATCTTCCTTAGGTCCCCCCCCCCCAGGTGCTCAGTGGTATGGTGCTGTCGTTTCAGGCCCCCCCAGTCAGCTGGCCTCGGTAAAGACTGCCTCTGTCGGTACGCTGAACCGGGCACGCCCCCCCATGGCCGTGACGGTGCCCAGTGCCCCAGACATCCCCGAGACTAGCAAGATGCTCGAGGAAGCAGAGAGTGTGAGTGGATACCCACCCCCCACCAAATCACTTCCCCTCCAGTACACCAGGGGGCGTGTGTAAACCCTATTGTACTGCAGGCAGATGATTCACACCAATTCAATGCTCTTGAGTTTTGTGCCTCCCAGGCACGCCTGAATGAACCTTAGACGCAATTAGTCTACTCAGCAAACGGCTACTGAACGGCATTACTTAGAAGGTGACCTAAAGGCGCTCCGATATGTCCTGAATGTGGGATTATTCCCTTGTGTCCGCAGTGCACATCACCGTTGAGTTTTCCCTATTTCTGTAATTATACACTCGTTGTCCCATCCTTAATTTGACCTGTATTTTTTAATGATGTTTTTCCCTCTCATTTTTCTTTCTCCTGTGCTGATGTGCTGCTCTGTCTTTGTTTGGCCGATATATCTTTCTAACCACATTGCTGCTTGTTCTAACTCCCATGGATTGTTGGGCTCTGTGTTATTGTCTTTCTGCTTCTTCCTCATGCTTTGGCTCTTAAATATAACCTTATTCCACACCTCCCCCCAATTCCTTGATTTATGTTACAGTCCCTCTGACCCATGTCCTGCCTCCCGTTCCCTCCTATTCTAATCTGCAATGCTTCCCATTTTCCTGGCCAACTGCTGACTGGCTCCGCCCCCAAATAGCCCCACCCCTTGCTGGCTCCGCCTCCGCAGTAACACTGTTCCCTTCCTGCAGAGTTATGAGCGAGATGAATTGAGTGAGGAGATGGCTCACCTGGAGGGGCTGATGAAGGACCTGAACACCATCACCACTGCATGAGCCATGCGCCACGTGGGCTGACCGTCCGACAGGCTGCATGGACTGACTCATATCAAGCTTTGAGGACATCATCTGGCTTGACTCACTTTGTCTCAGGAAGTGAGATGGCCGATTTTAAGAGAGCAGCTGCGTATCCTTAGGAATAAATTACCTTTTTTCGTTCGCAAGTCTTGGTGCTCACTCGTGAAGACTGCTCTTTCCAGAACAACAAACACAACAGACAGAGGCTTCCTCTGGTTGCCGGGGGAACCCATTTCGAAGGAGGTGACTTTAGCACCCCTCCCTGAGATGGAGGGTGCTGTGTTTTGTGGTGCTCGCCCCTGAAGCCCCCGCTGCGCTCAGACTGCAGGGCTTTTGTCGTTAACGTGCGCTTTCTGACGAAGTAAACATGGAACCACAGTCCGTCATTCCTACCGTCTGGACATTTTTATATCGACTGTTCAGTATGAAGGCCTCGTACCTCCCTCCTTTGTCATATATTGTGCCATGCTTTTATTATGGTCTGATATGTTGCTGATATGTATTGTTTTATATTCGTATGCATATAGATATGTATATATGTTTTTTAACTGCCTCATTTCCGTTCTGTATTGTTGTATTTCCGGAATCGCGGATCTCCGCCGCGGACACGCCGCTTGTCATTGATTGGTTAACATATGCTGTTACCTGGGGGGGGCATTTCCAAGGATTCATATGTGCAGTACGCCACCTCCGTCCCCACACACACCCATTAGCTGTTCTAGGGGGATGTGTGAGAACATCCCACTGGAAAGTGAGTGTCCATCCCTGCTGTCTGTCACCTCAGGGGTCTGCAGGGTGACAGCAGCTCCAGGTCCCCTTTGCTTTGCCGCGACGCTCTCCCTGCCTTCCAGCCAAGAAGCACAGATGCTCTGAGGCCTTAGGGGGCCTCTGTAGACCCCAATTCTGCATCCCTTGAAGAGTAGTGAAGCTCAAGGTTTGTCCCAGAAACACCACAGCTGCCCCCCCGCCCCCCGCCCACCAGCGCACCCCACTGAACACACATCACCGCTCTCTGACATGATCACCAGAGTCGCCCCCCCTTGCTCTCTGTCTCCCACCCCTCCACCGCCCTGGTTCTAAGCGAGGCTGCTGGGCTGGGTTCTGTACGGGCTGGCTGGGCCCTCATGCTGGATACAGCCTGCTGATCATACTGGTCACCAGTGCAGGGGATGCCTGGGTGAACTTTGTGTACAGAGTCAGTGTTAGAAAGAAGTTACCAGAATGCTCGTGTGGCAGACGCTGCTCTTAATTTTCCCCATTTTTACCCAAAGAGAGAGGTCACTGCAATCGCTGTTCCCCTGCACCTTGCTGAATGTCACACTTCTCATGAATTACATCTTCTTGAATGTTAATGTAACTATGAAATCCTGCTTCTGAAAACAAAAGACGTTTCTAAAGGATCGACCGGGGGATCGTTTGTTATGTTGTAAGCCGAATAGTATTGCACTTTTTCCCACAATTTTCAGAACTGCATTTCTTACGTATCCTGTGTTTTTAAGAATAAAACTGTTTGTGTGATTGTAGTCTGCAGGCCTGCTGCTGTTTGGTTTTGTACTTTTCTAGGAAATGGGGTCACAGACACATTCTTCTGCATTTTTTTAAGAATCTCTGTGGCTTAAAAATAAGAGACCAGAAAAAAACACCACATTCATTATCCTGATTTAAAGTGGTGCTCTGATGCATTTTATATTCTGCATTTGGGTGGAAATGCGGTGTTGTCAGTATATTGCATGTCTCTTTGATTCTGTGTTTAAAGGGATGATTCTGCTGATTATTTTCTCTGGCAAACATGGCAGCTGTGAAGTATATCCCTTTAAATCCACCCAGAGTCTCCATTAGAGCCTTTTCCAGAGATGTAAGGACTGAAGAGGGTGCTTTGATTTCGTATGAAATACTGATGTTCCGAACCTCAGATGAGGTTGGCTCCTCATACCCACAGAGGCTCACACTTCACACCTCCCCAGCTCACTTTCCTGCTTTCTCTCTTCACTGCGAGATGCTGTTACTGATTTAATGGGCTGGTTATAATTAGCTATAGGGTTTGGAGGTGGGTATGTGACACAGGAACCTTCTACACATGGTGCCTCCGCAGGCAGCGCTGTCGTCTCACATCTTCTGGGCTGGGGATTTGCATCTCACCTGTGTGTGTGTGTGTGTTTGTGTGGCCCCCACCATGTGATAAAAACCTGTTGTTTTGACATTGTGGGGACCATTTTTCATGCAAATGTAGTCAAAAAACTAAAGAGAGAGAGAGACTTTATTGTTGTCATTGTATCAGAAATACAACGAAATTTTGTTTGGTAGCTCACGGCTCAGCAGCAAAGAGGTACATTAATGTACCACATTAATATAGAATACAGTCTCGTAGACATGGTATAAATATGAATAAAACCTAAGATAACTATTAATAAAATACTATATATATATATATGTATGTATGTATGTATGTATGTATGAATGAATGAATGCAGGGGTTTTAGGTTGTCATGTTGGGAGTAGAGTTTTCCCCATAGAGATGAATGGAGAGTCCCCACAAAGATATAATTACAAACCTATGTGTGTATATATATATATATATGCGTGTGTGTGTGTGTGCGCGCATGTTCACCCCACGCTTTATGAAATGTGCTCCCACAGTTCAGGGACATGCAGTTAGGTGTCAGTACGTTGCCCATGCTGTGTGATGATGTATGTTCTCTGAGATGGCCAGACGTCTTATCCAGAATGTACCCCAGGCTTGTGTCCTGTGATAAAATAGACTTAGACTTAGGACCGCCTGTGCCCACTGGTCAACAAGCTCTCTCCAGTGCCTTCTGTCTTTCCCAGTGTCCTCCATTTCTTCCCATTTAATGTTAGTTGGCGTTAAGTCTTCTTTAAAGGTGTGATGCCAAATTCTATACTGTCTGCCTGGCATTCTTCAGGAAGATGCGGTACGTATATGTTCGGCAAGGTGCAGTCTTCATTGTGCGACATCTTGAGATCACTCTGTATTACAATTTCATCATTTGTGTCATGATCGTAGTATGAGTCCTCAGGTATTGGTCAGAACCAATGTTGTCAAAGATTAGATGAACGTTATTGCTCATGGGGAGGAAAAAAGGTAATTGCTCCCCGTCGGGGAATCGAACCCCGGTCTCCCGCGTGACAGGCGGGGATACTAACCACTATACTAACGAGGACTACGGTCAATATAGTCCATGAAAGCTTCCTGTCAGCCTACCAGGACCTGACCAGGTTAAATGGACGGATGCCTGAAACGTATAATGAAGTTTAATATGACTATTAAAAACAGGCTTCACCATCTCAGTGATGCTACTTCATATTTTTGTTCAAAAAGCCAGCTACCACTAGAGGGCGTAACAGACTTTTGTACGTGATTTGCCGGACTATAAACCCAGAAACGCTGTTGTAGCCATGAAGATTCAGTCACTAACTGCCTTGTTTCCTCTGCTTAGAGAAAATAATTCCATCAGCAAGACAATGCGGTCTGATGATATTTCAGACATAACGATAACGTAGGTGAGTGATTAACTGCACAGTCAGCATCCCCAACTCGCTGTGCGTTTCTGGTCCAAAATACAAATGTTTTATTAAGTTTCTGACATGTATAAGTCTCAACCCCACTGTTTTGTAAGACGCTCAGTTGCTTTTTATCAGCATAATGAATTATGAATTACTGCTTATGCAATTATTCGAAATGATAAATTGAAAGTGATTGATCTCGTCCCCAAAAAACGTCTGTGAATGATGACATTAAGGTCACCAAAGCGGTCCTCAGTGGAAACTGCGGTAGTTGTACCAGGCGCAGGCTGTTATTTGGCTATTGGACTAGCGCTTCTCGGAGCGCCGCCTTTCAAAGCGGGGCGGCAAGGAGTCGGACCTTCAGTGGGAGCAGCCCGTCAGTCCCGTTAAGGGTCTGAAGAACACCTCGTCTGAAGGACATAGGAGACCCTCAGAAGCATACATTTATTCTGGAGAATAAGGTGAGTAAGGTGACTCCGGTCTTCTGCGTTTTGGGCGAGATTAGTGATCTTGCTCTTCATCAAGACGCAAAATCAGGCTTGACACTTTTAGGAGCGTCAGTGTGTCATGATCAAGCGCCTGTGATGCGTGATTAGAGGCGCATTTGAGAAACTCCGCTTGTTATTAAGGAATCGATCGGTGCTTTTGTGAACCATCACCCCTAAATTATTAAGTTTAAAATGGCCAGCGCTTCTCATGTTCATGCGGGGCTGATTCGCCCCAAACCTCTAATTTATGCTAAGTTCATACATAAAACTGTGAGCCAATAAAACGCGATAGTTTTGCATACATATACTTTAACAAAGTTTATTATATTCGTAATATGCTCAGTTGGCGCCACTTATTGAATACTAAAACACTTGATCCGATATGTGTAGGATGTAAGAAAGTTTTTATTCGCTCTTGTCAATCACATAATAGGAAAACACCAGTAAAACATGGTCTAAATGGGGATTTGGTAAGCGCATGTCTTTAATTGTCACAGCTGGGAGACAGACGTGGTTTTAATGCAATCGGTTGATAGTAGCTGAACAATATTACACGAATAGCGTGGAGATAGTCGAGAAGGGAAAGCATGGATACGGGGTTTACGGCAAACTGCCGGCCACTGAGTTGGACTGCCTCATCGTCAGTCTCTTTATCGTAAGAAGCTTTTGGATGAATTACAAGTAAAAGTGGATATTATGTAGTTATTTGGGTGTTTTCAGCGTATGGAGTACAAATGAAACCAAAGAGGCAGCAGCAGATAATTTCACAGCCTCAGTCGAGTTGGTGCATGTGTCTATAGTTTGTAACACAAACGTGTGTCAGTTATGTATTATTAACGTGTTTTTTTGTAATAACAATTTGCAAGTTGTTTTTTTTTTATCAGACAGATAATGTGCCGATGAATCAATCACTTCCCGATGTGCTGTTTTAAACAAACAAATTTGGAAAAGCAAGCATACCCTGAACGACCTATTTGGTCTGAAGTGACCATGTTTCCTGACTGACCTGCACATCTATTCTGTTGGTCCTCTGGTCTGCGCAGAAACTTTTCTGACTGGATTTACGTTTGAGGTAGATGCCCTTTCAGAAAGTGTGATCCCTCTGGCTTCTGTGCCGTATGGGTCTCCCCAGTCCATGTGAGAGCACGACAGGTGCCCCTATGCCTCCATGATCTTCTCAAAGGTGGTGTTTACCGTGCTGCCAACAAGTTAAATTGATATGCCTTGCTTGTTGGAGATATTACCTTTGTTGCTGACTGCTTGAAGAGGCACGTATGTCTTGCTTGGAGGTGATGTTAGCAATGATGCTAACGATCTAATGGTGCATTCCTGGTTTGGGGGATCATGTGGTTTGATTTTGTGTGGGGTGGCTTGTGTGTCCAGTATGGGGCAAATTGGGGACTACCACCACCCACCAATTTGTGCCATACAGAAGGAGTAGTGTGTCAGAAAAGAGCCAACAATGAATAAGGAGTGGCACTAATAGACTGTCGTAGGTCACCCAAGCCCAGATATTCTAGTGGTCATGTGACCAGGGCGTGCGAGCTAGCAGGGTTTGGCTTTGTTCACCATACCACCGTTTCCAGCTGGAACACACTGCTAGAGCACCGTGTGCTAAGAGCCGCGTGGTCGGAGTTGGACAAACAGTGCGTTCCGGTTATTTATTCCTTTTTTTTTTTTGCCTATAACCACATTCTCCTTTCCATCCTTCTGGAATTTCCTCTGGAATTTCCTAAGCCCACCTTAGCTGCAGTTGTTTCTGGGGTTCGTGTCCTGGGCAGGCTGCTTGTCTGGTGTTCCGTAGATGTCTGGCCCTTCTTTATAAACACTTACACAAGTTTATTTTTTTAATTAATGTGCAGAGAACGCCCTTTTTTGTTTGGCTCCCTCGTCTCTCACGGTGTCGTTTTAATATGCATGTTTCCAGGCCTCCAGAATCAGCTGACACTTGTGAGAGAAAATGTGGAAAACTCAGCAGTCATGCTGCTGAATACACAGCTGTTACTGACTTTAGTTGTTTGGACATGGAGTGCAAAGCAAAGTGCATTGTGGGTAACAATAATGGCACTGTTTAGTTGAGGGGGCAAAAATGAGATCAAAGGCTGAGAAGGGAAAGCAGACCTGCCCCCATCAGAGGGCACACACACAGACACATTGTCACTGTGACACGTGAGGTCACACCCACCCCCCCCCACACACACACACACACACACCGTGAATGCATAGTGTATGGACAGCAGTCACATGCCTGATTTGTTGGTTGTGGTGGTGTATTTTTGGGCATTTTTATTTAAGCAGTATCTATATATTTCAGAGGGAATGAGACAACTTGATGACTTGTAGAGTGGAAAACTGCTGGAGCAGATGACGCTGGAATGTTCCGGGTGCCGTGTTTATTATCCTGGCGCTTGCGACAGTGGGTGTTAGATCCGGGCTGAATGTTTCTTACTGACTGACTGTTTACCACAATGTTTTCAGATGATAATGTTAAGAGAAATCATGCAATCATTTCTACAATTAAAGCTTTACGGTTGCCAAATGCGTAATAAAAACCAGGGTCGTCCAGCCCTCCTGGTTGAATCGATGGACAGGCGTAGAGTTGTGGACAATCCTTATTTGCAGCTTTTGAAATACTTGTGGGCTGAGGTGTCCTTATGACTGGGTATTTATGAAACAGGCCTGACCAAATTGTTAATCATTTTTACCCTGACAACACAGACTGATTATATTCTGCTCTCATCTTGCCTGATCAGAATTGACAATTGTCTTGTTTGTTTTTTTTTTAGTGTTGCCCGATTTTCATTATTTGTTGTGCAGCTGTTTTTTTTTTTTTTTTTTTTTTATTCAGCATAAATGCTGACATTCCTGAACATTCCAAAGCAGTATTTTTCCAGTTATATGAAATGAAACTTGAGCATGTCTCTTTTTTTTTTTTTTTTTTTTTTTTTAATAACTTTCGTCCTTTAAAAAATTTCTTTGTCATACTGTAAGAGCCCAACTGCTACCTTTGGTCAGACGTTAGTCTGTGATGGCTTGAACTTGGCCCAAGTGAGAAGCTTGTGGATGGTGTCGAGACCTCTTGCGATATCGATGTGGTCAGCATTGTGTTGGTTTTGTCCAGATAGCAGCAATGCTAGTGGCGCTGCTACTGAAATTTGTTTTTTTTCTGTCTAGACTGTTTGTTGCTTCATGACCAAACATGGGCATTTGGGCTTAGGCTCAGCTCCTCTTGGCTGTGATGTGGGATTGAGTCAGAGAGGACTGTGACCTAGTAATAATGCTTTTATGACATGGGAGAACCTGGATGAGAGCACCCATCTTCGTCATGATGCCTGCCAAAGACAGCGTTACTGGGCTAATGTAGCTGGGGTCCCCCACCCAAAACATCAGGGGCAAGCGAGTCTTTGTCATGGGTGGGGAGGCTTCAACAAATGTACTGGGGCTGATTTGTCGTCTCTAGGGGCCCTGACTCAAAAACTAAATAAACAGCCTGCAGAGTCAGAAGATTGTAGCTGAAGTTACAGGTTAGCGGAAGTTTCATCTTTAGAATTTTCTTAATAGGAACAAATGAAAAATCACTGTAGTGGCTATTTGTGGTCAGTAGGGGCCCCTCAAACATCAGGGGCCCCATGCAAATGCGTGGTTTGAGGCTGGTAAACACCGCTGCTGCTCTAGCCCTCTTCCTCAACCAGCGACTTGCCGTCGCTGTAGCTCGTGCTTCTACTGCATTGCTTGTTTCACGTAGAGCTTCGTGACTGTGGCTTCAGTGTCCCATGTGGCATGTGTTGACATCCCATTGGTTTGAGCTGATGTCTAACAATGTTCCTCCCCTGGATCAGACGGGCGATGTCCAAGGTCAGAGCGTAGCTGAGGAGGTGCGGGCGCAATGGGCGAGACGGAGGAGGAGCGCTGCTCCCGGGCGGCGCAGCTCTTCGAGGAGCTTCTCCAGGCCTCCACCTGCCTCGACACCCTGCAGGCCTTTGGCGCCCTCTGCAGACATCTGCAGCTCGACCCGTTGGACCACAGGAATTTCTACAGCAGGCTCAAGGCCGGGGTCACCTCCTGGAAAGCCCGGGCCCTCTGGAGCAAGCTGGACAAGAGGGCGGCCCACAAGGAGTACAGGAAAGGGAACGCTTGTGCGGGAACTAAGGTAGGAAGGAGGGTGAGAAACATGACAGGTCCAGACAGCATCAATGAGTAAATCCAGGGGTGGGGCCATATGGTGAAAGCTGATTGGGCCCTAGAGTGCCCCTCCCCTGTAACTCACCAATTCAAAGTATATCACTGGCTAATGATAAGGATGGCCCGTCCATATAAATTATGGCCCCTTTTATGCCACCCCCTTTAAAAAAATCCTAGAATAGCCCTGAGGAGACCCATTGAGAATGATGATATGTTGTGCCAAGCCCGTGTCCCTGCGATGCCTGGTTTTCCCCTTTCAGCCACCGCTTCACGCCCTAGCTGGAATCTTCTGGAAGGGTTGTAATAGTCATGGCATTCGTTTCAAGTTTGACCTCAGCTTACTTCTAAAAGAAGACAGTGCCTGGAGAGAAGCAAATGTTCTGACCTGTTTTGTCACACGCCATAAAAGTTGATATTTGCATCTGGGGAAAATACTTGGCAACTGCATTTAGTAGGCGCAGCTGGAGAGCTGGTTTGATGATGAAACTACCGAGATGTCAATCTAAATGTTCACTTCAGCCCCAGGGCTCCAGGTCCTAATCACACTGGCCCTCTTCTGGGGGCTTTTAGAGGTCTCTGCTTGAAGAGCCACACTTTAATAAACCTTCCAAAAGTGAACTACTTTAACGCTGATGTTTTTATATTTGCGTACGTTGCTTGTAGAAACACAATGGAAAATAAGTATGGAGTGAGGCATCTAGTAAGGCCATTTGCTGGAGCATAGGAGGTGCCCCTACCCTGAGCAGGCACGTGTGTTGGCATGGAGGTGCTTCTGGTGTCTCTCAAGATCCGATTCCATGACTTTGTGGTTCCTGGGGCTGGAGAAGCCAGAATGCAGCATTATTGAGAGCAGTCAAATGGCACCTACACTGCAGCCTTAGGACCATCGAAGGGCCACATTCCGCAGGTTCCTGCTGCTCTTACTGTATTACAGATGCTTCAGCCTGTCCTGTAATTGGTCCTTCACTCTGGCCTGAACGTATGCTGTGCAGAGGTGGAAAGTTCAGGTTCAGAAAATACAAATCCAGATCCAGATTTTGTTTCAACCAACCAGTTGAGCATAAATAGTGATAGTCACAGAGTACTCACTTGGTTGGTTGGATCAAAATCTTGGTCTGGATTTTTACTTTGTGGACCTGAACCTTCCACCTCTGATGTTGTGTATGCTGTACTGAGACTAACTGGTCCGCCTGATGCTGCCTTCAGCGGACAATTGTAGACAAGGGCTAAACTCGTAATGAGTTTACGGTCTAATGATTCCTTTGTGGCGACGGTCGTTAGCAACGTGTTGCCGTGGTCTGCTCGGGTTTCACTCGGCAACTGTGGGGACTTGGCGCTGCTGGATGCCAAGGGTTCCTTGAACAGAAGTTGTAATCTGAAGAAAATGAGAAGCTGGTCCGGTT